TTCATCCCTAGATTTAGATGTCTCACATCCCAGGAGACTGAGGAAATTGCATTTATCACAAAAGAGAGCTGAAATGTTTGAGAAAAGAATATAAGAGATGTTGACAAATTTTCCAAACATAAAACAGGTAGGGTATGAGATGGACAGATCAGAAAGTTTGACTTCAATGCACAGCACAATTCTGGAACAGTAAATTAAGCAGATGGTTTGTGATCATTTAGTAAAGACGGTAGTGGTTGCTAGGAGCCACCATGGGTTTACTAAGAACAAATCTTCCCAAACGTTCCATTTCCCTTTTATATAGTATAATATGGTGTGTAAGACTAAGGAATGCCATTTCAGCAAGGAATCTAATTGTCTTCTTATGGATAAGATGGTAAAATATGGGCTAGATGATAGTCCTGCTGGGTGTACAGCTTGATAGCAGTGAAAGTCAGTTGATTCGTGTCATGGTTATCTTGATGGGGGTCTCTGGTGTAATACCAGAGGCCAGCTCTGACGGGTAACGTTCCCATTTAAGACTTGAGGGATTTGGATCAAGACATATGGGTTGAGAGGCACCTGGGTGGCTCAGTCAGTTAAGTCTCTGACTCTTGATTTCAGCTCAAGTCATGATCTTAGGGTTGTGAGGTCAAGCCCTGTATCGAGCTCTGTGCTGGACATGGAGTCTGCTTAACATTCTCTCTTTCCTTCTCCCTCTGCCCCTCCCTGCTCGCACATGCGCACTCTCTTGCTCGCGCTCAAAAAAAAAAAAAAAAAAAGACATATGGGATGGATGTGTACCAACAAAATATGTAGATGGCCCAAAGTTGAGAGGGACAGTAAATATAATAGATGGGAGAATAAAAATTCAGAATAGTCTTGATCGTCTGAAGCACCGCATGGAACCCCAAAAGATTGAATTTAATTAAGCTAAAGGGAAGACTTGAAGCTCAAAAGCTCAAGACAGAAAAAGAAAGGAGATCTTGTTTAGTAGAAGTTCAGGTAAAACTGATCTGGTTATTTAATTGACCCAGCATGTAATATTCATTCATTGTTCATTCATTCATTCAACAAATATGTATCAAAAGTACTACCTGCTGTGCACTTTCCTTGGCATTAGGGAGACGGTAGTGAACAAAATAGTTAAAAATCCCCACCTCTGTGGAGCTTATACTCTTGAGGTGCCAACAGTTGAGCAACTGCTTTAAAAAAAAAAATGAACCCAATATTAGGCTTTATTTGCTAAAGTATAACATCCACTCATGATGGTTGGTAGTTCACCTCTCTTATTTAATACCCTATTCTTGGTGCTATAATTTATACTGGGATCAATGCTCTCAGTTTTGGACCAATGAGAGCGGCAATAGGATGAGAGTAATATAAAACATGGTGGAGGAGGACTGATCGGCCGGAAGGAGAGAACACTAAGCAGACATTATATCCCTCCAATATTTGCAGGAGTACGAGAAGAGGGTGTCATCTTGTTCTCTGTCGCTCCCAGGTGTCACCACTCATTGCAAGGAGGCTGATTCCTGGTACATATAAGAAAGGCTGGCTGGGAGGTGTCCTTACTGTAGCTGGAAGCCCACCTGTGTGAGCTCCACGAGGGCTAACTAACCTGGTGCTCTTGGGACTCCTGGCGCAGTGCCTGATCTATGGTGGGCGCCTGTGGGGGGATGTTCCTCTGATGTTTGTAAAGGCAAGCTAGGTACCCAATGCTAAAGCTTGAAGCTTGGTTTTTGTATATCTTAAGAGTCTGAGGGTGGAATAATGTACCTAAGAACTGCTGTTGGGGGCCAGAATGTTTTCTTCTGTCATGTTCTAACATCCACAAGTTAGTTAAACCACTTTTCTTAAGAGACATTTCAGAGGCCATGTGAGGATTTCCTTGAAATTTCTGCAGTATGCTTATTCAAACGTCACCCATCCAGCACGATGCCCATCATGTTTTGAGGCCTTCACTGTACTTCTGGCTCATCCGGGGTCTTGCTTTTTTCTAAACTTCACGGCAATGCTACAGAGGTTAGCATTTAATTTTTTCCTAACCGCTTCGTGGGTCTCTCTATCTGGGTGATAAGTCTTTTTTTTTTTTTTTTTTAAAGATTTTATTTATTTATTTGACAGAGAGAGAGATAGCGAGAGCAGGAACACAAGCAGGGGGAGTGTGAGAGGGAGAAGCAGGCTTCCCGCCGAGCAGGGAGCCCGATGTGGGGCTCGATCCCAGGACCCTGGGATCATGACCTGAGCCGAAGGCAGACGCTTAACAACTGAGCCACCCAGGCGCCCGAGGTGATAAGTCTTTTGAGAGGAAAATCTTATTTTATATTTTTCTCGTATTCTTCCAGAAGCAGAGTAGAAACTCAGTACATGACAACTGCTTGACTGCTTGAATTATTAGTTGAGGGGGAGAGTCAGGAGCGATATCATTCCAGCCACTGCAAGGACTCATGTAAGAATGGCAGGTTAAGTAGACTTTAATTTCTCTATCCCTTGCATCCAAAGAAGGGATTATGTTCTTAATTTATTAGAGTCTCCTATTTTGGCTGGGCAAGGGCTTTGCACAGAGTTGATTCTTTGTATATAGTTGAATCTGTGTTAATGGCTATACTCCAGGGCTCAAACAGCCTTCTTGCCTCAATATCTGAGGGGAGGTGGGACGGCAGGTACAAATCTCTAAGCTCAGTTTAGAGGCTCATTGACTGTGACTTATGTAACCAGGGTGGCCAGATTTAGCACATAAAAATGCAGGCTGCCTAGTCACTTTTGAATGTCAGATAAATAACAGTGCAATATTTGGGGTGTACTTACACTGAAAAAAGTATTTGTTGTTTATCTAGAATTAAACATAACCGGGTGCCCAGCATTTTATCTGGCAACCCTTCATGTAAACCCCACTATTTCATATCCCTCCGTAAGTCTAAGCTTTTCGTGAACCTCCAAATTAACCTCACTAAAAGAAAATGTTTGTGCCCTTGGAAATGACTCTAATTGGAAATTTTTAAAAATTAAAAAACTGGTGAGCCTGGGTGGCTCAGTCGTTAAGCATCTGCCTTCGGCTCAGGTCATGATCCCAGGGTCCTGGGATCGAGCCCCGCATCAGGCTCCCTGCTCCGCAGGAAGCTGCTTCTCCCTCTCCCACTCCCCCTGCTTGTGTTCCCTCTCTCGCTGTGTCTCTCTCTGTCAAATAAATAAATAAAATCTTTAAAAAAAAAAATTAAAAAACTGGGAGCATCCGTATGCTGTGTACTTTTTGTGGTCATAATTCTTTCAGGATATCCAATAATGATCATTCCATAAACGTCTAGGATCTCAGCAGTCCTAACTTAATTTGTCATGGTTTCCTTGGTAGCATAGTTTACTTGGTTCCTATGATATACTATTATTATATTATCTATATAATATTATTATATAAATTATTTATATAATTTGGGTATTATTTTGCTCAGGTAGCAAAGTAACCAGTGGTAACAAGGAAATATTAGGCTGTAGCTCTGCGCACGGGAGCCAGATGAAATGTGAATTTCATGTAATCTGTCATCTCCGCTCCTACAAACACCCGTGTTGACTAATCAGAGCTGTAGAAATCAGAGGAAAACATTGCCGCCCTCTGTTAGGTGTTTTGTTCTCTTCTCTCATCTGCTCGGAGGGAAGATAATATTCTGGTTTGTTCCACCTTATAAACTTCTATTTGAGGGAAAGACAGCTCACACTTAGGAAAATTGCCTCCATTTTTCCCTAAGTAAATAATGATTCTTAATGTTGAGTAGGGACAGCCTTTAAATATTATTCATTCATTTAGCCCTTATTTATTAAGCAGATGGATGCTAGGTATGAGGGGAAACAAAATAAGTAAGTAGTCCCTGCTTTCGGGGTTGGGGGAATCTGCATATGAAATGCTTGCTTTTGTATGGTTCAGCAGTCATTTCAGTGAAAGGCTTGTGGTAAGAGTTCATTAGCTCGTACGTAGTGAAATGATTCTTCCCTCAAATGCTTTAAAATAATTAGCAAGCCTTATCTTCTGAGCAAAAGCTACTCTTAATGGGTAGTTCCAGGGGCTGGCATTAGGCTATTTCCCTCTCTCTCGCTTCTGGAGTCAGGACTTTGCTACTCGACTCAGACCAGAAGCCTCAGCATCTCCTGGGAACTTGTTAGAAATGCAGACGCTCCGGCCTGCCCCAGCCCCACAGGACCAAAATGGGCAGGGCAGCCAGAATCCATGTTGGCTCGCGTGCACACTGAAGCTTGAAAAGCACAGGGTTGACTACCGAATTTCTGCTTTGTGCCTACAGATCATCTAAGGGTCATACTGAACCAGTTCCTGGGGTCTGCCCTCAGGGAGTCAGGATCTGTTTGACCAGGGTGGAGCCTGAGAATTTGCATTTCTTTTTTTAAATTTTATTTTATTATAATAATCACCATACATTACATCATTAGTTTTTGATGTAGTGTTCCTTGATTCATTGTTTGTGTATAACACCCAGTGCTCCATTCAATACGTGCCCTCTTTAATACCATCACCAGGCTAACCCATCCCCCCACCCCCTCCCCTCTAGAACCCTCTGTTTGTTTGTCAGAGTCCATTGTCTCTCATGGTTCGTCTCCCCCTCCAATATCCCCCCCTTCATTTTTCCCTTCCTACTATCTTTTTTTAAAAACATATAATGTATTATTTGTTTCAGGGGTACAGGTCTGTGATTCATCAGTCTTACACAATTCACAGTGCTCACCATAACACATACCCTCCCCAGTGTCCATCACCCAGCCACCCCATCAGGAGATGCCTGCCCGTGCTGTGTCTGGGAACCACATTTTGATTGCAGCAGTCTAGTTGGCATGGGGTCCTAGGTTGACCTTTGGTAGTGGTGGTGACTAGAACCCCAATGAGGGGTCAGTCTGGTTTCCCTCTGCCTGGACTGGAGTCATGGACGTGACAGTGAAGCTAATGATGTCTGTTTTTAAAAGTTTCCATGCCTCACTATACTCACTCTTCTGTTTGTGTGTGCTTTTTTCTCTTTCAGGATCAAGCATGAAAACATTGTCGCCCTGGAGGACATTTACGAAAGCCCAAACCACTTGTACTTGGTCATGCAGCTGTAAGTACCCGCTTTGCCTGAGGGGTGCGGAAGGGGGTCGGGGGGCGGTGGGGACCACCGGCCGGTAAAAGAAACTGAGGTAGTGGGCCAGGTGAGCCGTGGGAGCAGGAGCGGGGACCCGGGGAGCTGGGGTGCCCTTCTAGACGGCAGGCCGGATACAGAGTCTGAGGGCCTGGCTGGGTCTGCCCTGCAGGAACTGCACCAGACTGATGATCTCTCGCCCTCATTGAGGAGCCTGCTGCGGCCGTCGCAGGGTGCCTCCATTCGGGGGGTCTCTTGCTTTTTCATGTGCGAGGTCCACATGTTGCTTCCTGAAAACACTTCTGTGGGCCCACTGCGAGGGACACTCTGCTCCCGTCTCTAGGAGAAACTCCCACCTCGTCTTCATTTCGAGGGATCCTGGGGGAGGGCAGCAGATGGTAGCTGTGGGCTCTGTCCTTCCATCTACTCTGCTGGCACAGAAACGCACATGGGACTGAACTGGATCTTGTGCCAGGCGTGAGACAAGTCTAGTTGGGGTCAGACCGTGACATTGTCACCCCCTGCAGATGATTTCTGCATTCCAGTAAATGCTGGAAGTTACCAGAAGAGGGAGGAAATAAGAAAGCTGAATATTCAGGTTGAACCTTGACCCGAACATGTAAGACACATGTAAACGTAACACGTAAACCGTTAAATGAAATTAGCCTCCCCTCCCAACTAGTAGGTTGTTTCTTTCTTTCCTTTTCTTTCTTTCTTTCTTTCTTTCTTTCTTTCTTTCTTTTCTTTCTTTTTTTCTTTCTTTCTTTCTTTCTTTCTTTCTTTCTTTCTTTCTTTCTTTCTTTCTTTCTTTCCTTCCTTCCTTCCTTCCTTCCTTCCTTCCTTCCTTCTTTCTTTCTTTCTTTCTTTCTTTCTTTCTTTCCTTTCTTTCATGAGAGTTTTTATAGGACATTGTAGGACATTTTTGTACAAACATTTTTAAAAGTATCCAGACTGGAAGCATGTGGACTATTTTTCTCTGTCAAGTGACTGTCCTAGGTGGTGACTGATGTAGGAAAATGTTGGGGTTTAGAGCCGAAGGCCAAGAAGGAATTCTTGAGATGTCTTCCGTGCAGAAAGGTGGTTTTATTAAAGCACCGGATAGGACCCCTGGGCAGAAAGAACTACCCTGGGGTTGTAACGGTTGACTCATTATATACTTTGAAGTTGGGAAGGGGTTAGGGACAGCACAAGCCTCCAAGGTATTTTGGAAACAAGGTTTCCAGGATCCTGAGGGGGCTGGCTATTGTTAGGAAAAGGTCATTTATGACTGTTTAGTAAAAACTCAGTCATGAGACTCTTCAGATGTCTATCAGTGGGCCATATGCTTGGAGAATGATTGCCAACCTGTATCTTGGGAGGGTAGAGACAGAGGAAGTTTCCAAAGGAATTTTTATATGTTAAAGTAGACTTCCAGGATCTGGGGGTGTTGGGCTAAGATTGCCTCTTGCCTAAGCAAAGTATTAACATCCAGGCAGCGGAGTTCCTAGAGGAATGTCACTGCCTATTCTAAGGACTTGTCAGTGGGCTGTAAGTAGTAAGGAAATACAATTTTTTTTCTTTTGCCTGTGTTTCCCACATCAGTGACCAGTTTTATAGCTTTGGGTGTTAGTGTCAGCCATGAGATTGGTGGTTTAAGCAGTTTTGACTGCTGGTTCCTCATTAATTTCTGATTACCTAAATGCCGTCTTTCCTAGTTCCTTGCAATACAGTTTGTTTTATAATTTGCCACATCCTGGTTCTTCCTTGAGAGCAATAGCTCTCCCCAAATTTGGGATACTCCCTAGCAGGCTCTTGTGACTTTATTTTATCTAGTGTTAAAAAACATAATTCAACCTAGTAAATATGAAGATCTAGTTGGCTTTATTAAATGATTCATGAGTTGGGCAAGCATCCCATCTAGCAAGTAGAGAGCTCCACTGAGCTAAACAGAAGAAAGGTTTTTAAAGGCAAAGAGAGAGCACTTACAAAGGGGGGAAAAAGGAATTTATTAGCAAGGAATGCGTTGTTTAGGCAAGGTTGCCCTCCTAAAGGGAATAGAGGGGGTCTATCAGTAAATTTCCTAGTATTGACCAGGAAATTCTATATTGACTATTTCAAAATTACATTCCTGGGGGATTGAAACTGCCGTTAGGTTATGTATTAAGTCTTGTTTTATTGACTTGGGGCCTTAACCTAAGTGGTGTCATTTTGGTTTTCTTTTTAACAATAGAGGTTCCTCTTAAAGAAGCAGGTGAACCACTTTCTCACCAAATATTGACTTCCCAGTAGGAAGAATATAACATTTTAATGACGAGAAAAAAGCCCACAAAATGTCAGTAGTATATTTAAATGTGTGTCTTTTATGGGTGATGCAAAAAAAAAAAAAGAAAGAAAAATCATTAGTACTAGAATCCAGTGCTATATGTATTCATTTGTTTAACTTCTCTGTTTATGGATCTGTCACTAAATAAATCAGTTGAAAGCATCCCCCTATGTAAATCTCAGCTCTGCCTCTTACTAGCTGGGTGAATTTGGACAAATAATTGGGCCTCTCTGAATATCAGTTTCCTTAATGGAAAGAAATAATAATATTGACATCATCCTCATCATCATATTTACATTAGAAGGTTATAGGGAGTACTGAATGAGAAAAATGTATAAAAAATAAAAATGTATTAAAAATAAAGAGTGCCATAAATAGCAGGTCCTCAATACAGACTGTTTCTTTATGGACATCTGTCTTGTTTCATTAGTATCTCTGCAGATGGTCTTTCGTTTTATGAGATGAAGTTCAAGTAGATTTAAATTCTAACTTTCTAAGCAACTTGATTGCATCCTTACCAGCAGCAGTTTATGTAAAGATAGGTCAGCATGAGGGCATAAGAGTGTCTGGAATGGAACAAACCTGAGGACAAAGTTTGGAAGTCTTCTTGGGGCACAGCTGTCCCCACCCCTTCACTGAGCTTTTCTACCAGGGATTTATCCTCTCTTTCGCAGTTATCCTAAAACCTCCTCAATATGGATCATGTTTGCTCAGAATTTGTAATAACCCAGAGGAGTTGGGCTAGAATTAACTCTTGGGGGTACCATATGAGGTTTGTGAGGCAAGTTGGTGATCTAGAGGCAAGGAATGTTTAAAGTGTTTAAGGAGAACACGATCTATGTGCACTGTTGAGAAGTTTAGAGGTGCTGTTTACACAAATATTGGATTTGCTAATTGTCAGCTGTTAACTTGTGTATAAATTCTTTTTTCCATTGGTTCTCATTCCTTTTTAAATTTTTTATTAGTTTTTTATTTTTTTATTAACATATAATGTATTATTTGTTTCAGGGGTACAGGTCTGTGATTCGTCAGTCTTACACAATTCACAGCGCTCACCATAGCACATATCCTCTGCAATGTCTATCACCCAGCCCCCCCATCCCTCCCACCCCCCTCCCCTCCAGCAACCCTTAGTTTGTTTCCTGAGATTAAGAGTCTCTTATGGTTTGTCTCCCTCTCTGGTTTTGTCTTGTTTCATTTTTCCCCTCCCTTCCCCTATGATCCTCTGCCTTGTTTCTTAAATTCCTCATGTCATTGAGATCATATGATAATTGTCTTTCTCTGATTGACTTATTTCGCTTAACATAATACCTACTAGTTCATTCCTTTTTTTTTAAAGCAACGTTGTTGAGGTATAATTTACATCCAATTAAATGCACCCATTTAAAGTGAACAATTCAGTGATGAATGTGAGAGCGAATCATACGGGCCAAACCACCGCCATAATCAAAACCAGAAAATTTCCATCACCCCAGAGATCCCTTTGGTCCTTTGACGTGCTCCCTTCCTTACCCCTGACACTGGAAGCTACCATTTATACTCATTAGAGATGATTTTGCATTTTCTAAAATGTTATGTGAATGAAATTATATAGCAGTACATTTTGTGTCTGGCTTATTTCACTCCTCATACTTACTGACATTCATTCGTGTGGTAGCATGGTCCGTAGTTTGTTCTTTTTCATTGCTGAGTAGTATTCCATCCTTACAACTAGTCCACATTTTATCCATTTGCTGTTGCTGGACATTTGGATTATTTCCAGTTTGGGTGCTATTATGAACAAAGCTGCTATGAACATTCATGGACAGCCTTGGTGTGGGTCTATGTTTGGGTGAAGACCTAGGAGCAGAATGAGTGGGCCATAGAGTAGGGGTTAGGTTGAACTTTTTAAGAAACTGTCAGTTTTCCAAAGTGGTTTTACCATTTTACATTTTTGTCAACAGTGCATGTAAGTTCTTGTTACTGTACATTCCTATCAACACTTCATACTTTGTGTTTTCAATTTTAGCCATTTTAATGGGTGTATAGTCGTGGGCACCTGGGTGGTTCAGTCGTTAGGCGTCTGCCTCCGGCTTGGGTGTGGTCCCAGGTTCCTAGGATCCAGCCCTGCATCGGGCTCCCTGCTCAGCAGGAAGCCTGCTTCTCCCTCTCCCACTCCCCCTGCTTGTGTTCCCCCTCTCTCTCTCTCTCTGTCTGTCAAATAAATAAATAAAATCTTTAAAAAAATGTATTTAATGGGTGTATAGTCGTATCTCACAGTAGTTTTAATTTGCATTTCCCTGCTGATAAATGATGGTGATCACCCTCGTATATCCTGATGGGCCATTTGCATATCTTCTCTGGTAAAGTGTCTCTTCAGATCTTTTGCTCACTTTTTATTGGATTGTTCATCATCATATTATTGGGTTGTAAGTGTTCTTTATCTATTCTATGTTTTGTCAGATATATGTAGTATGAATTTTTCTCCCATTTTGTAGCTTGCTTTTTTTGTTTTCTTAATGGAGCCTTTTTTAAAAACTAGCTTTCTTGAGACATAGTCCACATGCCATACAATTCATGCATTTAAAGTGTACAATTCAGAGGTTTTTGTTTTAGTCACAAGGTTGAACAGCCATCATACAATCTAATTTTAGAACACTTAATGCTCTAAAGGAGAACAACTAAAAAAGATCCATAC